CTCTTCATGAACACGGGCACGTGACATAGCAGCAGCTGTGAGCGTGTGTAACATTCGTGGAAGGATTATGTTTCATAGACATTTTTTTTAAACACACACACACGCGCACCACTGTTTGCCCATAACATGTTTTTCCATCTTCTTCCATCCCATTAGAGAGAGAGAGAGAGAAAATAAATATTTATATAATAAAAGTAAATAACAAAACAAAAAACACAACAATCAAACCAAAAAGGGAAATGGGATTTTCAATTATTAAACACGGGACAAAGCACTGTAGACCAGTGCCGCTGTGTTGGTTTGCTCAGTTTATCACGTGGTAAATATCAATTCAGAGCTCACGGTGAGCCGACTCCAAAATCAACAGCAATTCATTTCGCGCGCACAGGTTGTTTCGTCGGGCAGAGTCTGTGAGATCGGCAATAAAGGACCTTGCCGTCGCCTCCGCGGAGAGGCAGGGCGTTCCCTAAGAGGATAAATGGACCGCATAGCCGGGTGGCCGGAGCGTGGGTAGGCAATCGGCCCTTGTGAAATGAATGCGATTTGGGCCTCCCTGTTTGTCTTCCACCGCCTCTTCGTAGCTTGGCCCGTGGGGCCCTGTGCAGTTGCACCGCCTACACACTCACCAATGTTTATAACCGTGGCCACAGTCAAGCCAGCCTTTTTTTCCCTCTGCCTAACAGTCAGTAAATGTTTACAGAGAAAGTCCACGTGAATGAATCCAGACGATTTCGTTATTCCTGAAATGTCTGTGCGTACTTTCAAAATTCCATCCCCACCAACAATGTTTAAGACCAACGCCTCGTTGTGTCCAGTCGAATCCACAGTAGATGTATTATTTTATATATACTGGTCTTGACAGAGAACGGTCGTATTTAATACATATGTACCATACAGTATTTTATGTGTATGCATGGATCCTGTGAGCAGCATGCCTCCGATTTTAGCCCACGCGTGCCTGTTCCGAATTACAGTAATCAAGCATACCCACAACAGCATTACTCGCCATTTCCGTCCCCCCGAGAGACTTTTGGCATCTGAGCAACTGCTGCATCTAACCCCTGTCCACGCCACACGCGCCCCAGTGCCTATCCTCAACTCTGTTTCAGCAGCCTCGTTATTGTCATCAGTAATGGTCGATCCTGGATGACATCCTCCCCAAGTCGCCGCCACCTCTCAAGACCCTGCGACGTAAAAGCCTAAAAAGTGCAACCAGCACCGGCGCATGAGCTGTTGTCATCGGTGCGTTTGCCTGGGTGGAGAAACTCCACTCGGATACGATTTGCACGGTTGTCTACGAATGGTGTGAAAGAAGTTCAACATACATACATTTCATTTCTTGGCTGCTACTCTGTCATTATGCTTGACCATCGGCCGCCGTTCCTTCTAGCTCTGTATAAAAGGTAAAGGCGCATCCCTGCAATTGCCTGCTCACGCCACAGCTGGCAGAAGGGCCTCCGCTAGATGAAACTCTCCAGAGGTCACCTCGAGAAGGAGGTTTGACCGACTCTTTTTACCCGCTGGTCATACATCTTGGAAGGGTACCCACGTTTTACCCCACCACGCGCAATCTGCCAACCGACTACCTGTAGCGTAGTCATTTTATATCATTTATACAAATGTAAACTGATAAACCTTTTTTTTTTACCAGGTAAGGCCTACTGAGCTATATAACTCTTTTCGGAAGCGACCTGGCTGCCACCAATGATAGCCCAATGAAGTGGCTTTTCGTTTGGAAATGTATCGCTGCCAAAAAACTCTCTAAACGCACGTTGATTCTAAATGTGGAGAGAAAAACCGGAGGACTCGGAGAAAAATCCATGCGACCACGGGAAGAGAGACACCGAAAACTCCAAATATACCAGCAGGCGGCATGGTCGGGATCGAACCCACGGCCTCCTGTATACCAGGCGAGGGAGTTAACATCTCACCACCACGGCGCCCATTATTCAGAGGTCGAGGAATGAAGGGAGGGAATTTACGAAACTCCAATATTCTTGGTTCTTTCGGTAAAGTCACGTAGAAGGGAAATAATAAAATAATAATAAAAATTAAACAATAAAATTCTCAGGACGTTTCGATTGCAACACAAGCAATCATCATCAGGTGTGAAAACCACAGCAATATATTTTTTTTAAGTATGATCGCGTTCACTCCGGAATTAAGAAAAAAACCGCCACTTTTTTCAAATTTTCTTGCTGTGGTTTTCACACCTGATGATGATTGCTTGTGTTGCAATCGAAACGTCGTGAGCATTTTATTGTTTTATTTTTATTATTTTATTGTTTCCCTTCTACGTGACTTTACCGAAAGAACCAAGGATATGAATGTCTGCAGTCACTAAAGCTTTAAAACGAAAAATAAACTCCAATAATTTGACTGCCGCATCTGGAGATCGAAGAAGCGATCTCTGGATTTCAAGTCCAATGCGCTCACCGTTATTACGACCAGGTCAGCGTCCCTCCCTCTCTCTCTTTCTATGAATAGTTTTGAATTCCCACCAGAGCACCAATTCCGGAGTGAACGCGATCATACGGACGACAGAAAGAAGAAGAAAAAACCGGCCACATGTTTCTGCAGTTCTACCAGAGGGAATTAACCACGTGCCATTAAGATTATTCGCATTCCACTGAGGTTACATTTTCCACAAAGTGGACTCCCAGAACGTCTGGGACTTTATGCTGCAAAAAAACCGTTGTTTTGTTCTTCTTACCCAACATTGGTGCAACTCGTTATTTTGTGTACACGCTTATTGGTGTGAGGCCGTGTCAAATGTTATCCTCTAAACTTGTGTCTCAGCATGGGGGGTTGAGTTCCGGATTTCATCTTTCACGTCAAGTTGGCGGTCCCAGTTTCTCGCGTGTACATTTACCGCCATCTCGCGGTCCGCACGAGCGAATGACATCTCCAACGTCGGCTACATGTATTTGTTTTTACTGTGCCGCGTATCAACATTCATTTTAAACAAAACTATTAACAACCTTGAACACGTTTTGAGTTCCACGACGCAACGTGATTTTTGTTTAAACACGGCCACCGCAATGAAAACATAGCCACCAGCCGTACTAAACATACTACATCCCGCTATACACCCCTGTTGTGTGTTTACGTATACGAGAAGCCAACATGATCTGAAGACGCACAGATATATTATTTGGCCACACTGCTTCTGCAGTGGTGTACACTAAAAACCTCAACACGTCTCGTCAATAACACTGTGGCCTTACACGACGCGAGTATATAATAGACACGGAAAGCCCTTCCAAAGTCAATCAGTCAAAATTTCAATCGTTTCTCCCGCGACAGGAAAGTACCCATGTTATTGATTTTCATTACAATGTTATTAATGCATTGTGAGCTTTCATGGATTGATCGGAAATCGAGCATAAATGCCATTTTCTTACCACGAGAGGGAGTTCTTTACCCGACTTGGTTACGATTTCCTACGCCCCACTCCCCACTCACTTGAACTAACGTCACATTTTCTAAAGTCTAACATTTTGAAGCAATGGTCAGTAGGGGACAGCTGAATGTTGACACAACTCGCCAGCCACACGCACGCAAGCTGAACGGAATGCAAAATGTACTTTTTTAAATCCCATTTAAAACGTGTATTATAATATATGGGTCTTTTGGAAAAGTCACGTAGATAGAAAAAAGAATAATAAAATAAAAATAATTGTTATTATTTTTTCTATCTAGGTGACTTTACCGAAAGAACCAAAGAATATGAATTCCTGCAGTCACGAAAGTTTTAAGTCAAAATGTAACTTGTATTATTATGTGTTCTGCTCGGACACATATCACCAACCTCTTTGAGACGCAGCTGCATATCAGATGGTCGTACAACATTCCAAATGGTGCGTTTCATAGATTGATCCATTTATATATACCGCAGAGAACCACATTTTACTTCAAAGCCTCGACACGTCTCCCATTCTTCTCAATACTCTTATGAGGTCAACCAAGACTCTCCTCTGTAAGATATGGAGCCATCTCCCACCTGTTGAGTAGGGGATCGTGAGAAATCAGTGGGGTATGGATCGCCTTGTGTTACTCATGGCAATCAGTCGCATCACACGTATTCCTATCGTAAGTGCTTATCACGTCACACCCTCAAGTAAAGGCACCAGTTGAATGCCTGTCCTTTGCAGATCAACTCCACCCCCCACCCCTTCCCACCACCATAAAATATTCAGCCAGAAAGTTTTCTGTGGTCAAACTTCGACTAACAATGAGAAAGTCGTAAGTTTGAATGCCAGTCGAGGGTCGACTTTAGCCCCCAATATCTGCATGGCCAAAATAAAAGTGGCACTTTGTGGGATGACGACAGTGCTCTTCCTACGGATGGACAGGGCCATGTCAGGGGAATGTGGAATTTTCACCACTGGCTTAGGGCTGCTACGGGAGAAGTGCACCTACCCGGCATAGTGAACCACACATTCACGAAGCGAAATCGAGACTTTGGTATTTGACCAAGAAACTGTGGGCTTGGACAGAACACGTGACATGGCAAGGGATGATGGCGGATGGTGAAGAATGGTCACAGTGGCGACCAAGAACCAGCACACATCGGAAAGCACCTCCGCAGAGGAGATGGAGTGACTAATTCAGCTCGTGTATGCAGGTGCTAGGTGGATTGGCATAATTTCAGAAACGTGAGAGGTGGCGGCGGTTTGGGGAGCCCTTCATCCAGCAGTGGATTGACCTTGGCTGCTGCTGCTGATGATGATGATAAAACATCTGAAGTTGATAAATTTTTGGGGGGACGTGTGGTTAGAAAAGTGACCGTGAACTGATTTCCACAATTCCCTTCCAAGCGAGAATCAGGTTCAAAGCGCTGGGGCGCTGTCACCTCAACTCACCCCTTCCACTCCGTCCGATGCACCGGCGGCGACGAGCCGGCGATAACGGAGTCACCACCAACCCGCCAACGGCAAGGACTCATCTTCACACATCGGCGACACATTCACGACAAGGGCGAGCACCCCGCCGCCGTCGTCATCATTGGCCGCCTGCCCCTGGCCGGAGCGTCGCGCTCCCCACGAGACCCCGCCACGAGACCCCGAGCGCCACGGTCCCAACACCGTGTTCTGGTGGGTGAACGTGGACCGACGATGCAGGGCCCCCCCCCCACCGCCCCCAAGCGCCCGTTCCGTGTGCCCGCTGCAACCAACGCGACGCGCATCGCCGGGTTCCCTATCGAAGAGCGCCCCTCAATTCGCGCGTTCTGCGACGGAGCCGAACTGCACCCCCCCCCCCGGCACGTCAGTCCTGGTGCTGTGCCAGAATTCAGACAAATATATTTATTTAAGTGATGCTTCAAAGAGCGAGAGAGAGAAAGGAAAAAAGCCCCGTTTCTTCACGCAAGCAATATTTCCGCGGTGAAGCGCTGGCATTTTGGAGGGGGCCCCAAAGGGAGGCAGCCCAAAACTTGCAAACCTGGTGGTGGTGGTAGTGGTGGTGGTGGTAGTGGTGGTGGTGGCTTCACATTGGCTCTCTCCACCGCCCAGTCCAAGGGATTTCTCGAGCAACGACTGCAATAACCCCTCGAACGCCGTCTCTTTGTGTGCATGTGTGTGCAGCAAAAGGATTTGATTCCCTTTAAATTAAATCTCCATTCATTTTGTGTGTTGTTGCTATGCGCACATGTGGCACACGTTGCAATGGCAAACAGACGAGAATAACTGAAGCCTAATCACCGTTGGGGGGGGGGGGGGGGTGCTGGATCTTCTGTGGCCTTGCCGACCTGGGTTTTGCCATCCAGCTCACCTTCTGACTACAGCGCCGAGGTACGACACGTCCACACCGCCGTGCTTTTGCAGTCAGATACTCGGCCGATTTGCACGGCGATTTGTAATCGCGCCATCAGTCTTTATTGTTTTGCATATCCACATTGCGCACCTCACATCAGCGAAGGCATCTCAGAGCACTTTAGGTAAACATACATTTGACATGAATGCCCAACACTTTTTTTATTATATATAAGATTGCAAGACAGAGTTTTAGACTATTAACGCAGCAATGTACGATGGAACAAATGTTTCGACAGAATGTAAAAAAAGTCAAAGTGATTTCCTGATCAGATAAACGTGGAACCGGTGCTCATCTCCTACTTACAGCCCAGTTGCAGACATTCCACATCCCTATGGCGGGGGCAAACCGCTTTAAACTCCTGGACCCTGGAGGAATAATGGGCTGAGTCAAACCCAAACCGGATTTGAGCCGCTGGCTCTACCGGCTGAGCCATACGGCCGGTTTACAAAGTAATTATGTAATTAAGATCAAATAACTAGCATGAATATCACGGTAAAAGCAGCTACCCAGCTGCTTTACACATGCACTGACGAAGAGGGAGGGGGGTGGGTTTAATGTGTAACGTTTACGTTTATCTAAAATATATCCGCTCCTCTGATCTTTGTAGGGAGATCGCCCCGTAGTGGTGGCGCCAGACAGCCCAAAGTCACGCGCGGTCAATGCGATAACGCGCGCGGCACCGCGTGAGTGGGACGGGGAGTTGCGTCGCTGTTGATTGCCCGCGCCAGATGTGGCGAAAGGTTCACGGACGCAGGACTGCGAATCGTTTCAACGCGGAGGCATTTCGCGACCAATATTCATCGTCGTGAATATTGGTCGGTAACCCACCACCACCGCCACGACACAGCCGATTAGTGAGGCTAATTGCCTGATGAAGCTGGTTGTAATCACCGGCGAAATGTCGCCCTCGAATTGAAAGCGTTGTGGGTTTACTCGCCATTACACCGATGTTCTGAAGTAAGAGCTAATTGGCACGTTTTGTTTACGTGACAAACATTACTAATTGTCTGTGTCGGATGGTGGTGGGTTAACGACACATTTATATTTACGCGATCTAACCCAAAAAAAATTCTTATGAAAAGTGACTGTACTGTGTTCGTAAAGGGAACCACACACTGCACTGGCCACAGCTGATGTAAACCCGGTGGAAAATATGACATGATTCACCAAACGCTTATATGGGTTTATATTGTGTTCTTGACCGAGTTATATTTGACTGTGTACGTGATGAATATGGGGAGGGGTGGCACAGCGTGTTGGTGCACTGCGCTATGAGCTAAACCGACCTGAGTTCGGTTCCCAGCCACGGCTAACATCAGTGGCGAATGATATCTGAACCGGTCCAGTTCCTCTCCTAGGTTGACTGAGCTTTCAATGCGTGCCTCGCACGGTGCGTGTCTAAAGATCGCCACTGGGAGACAAAGAGGACCGGGCGTAGTCTCGGATCGTTGTGTCTGTTTTCTCGAACTACTTGTGTACAGGTGTCAAGCGAAACATTCTGAAATTACATGTTAACATCATGATGCGATGTGTCTTTTAATGGTCCAAAAAGCGCATTGTTTTACCTGTGTCACCGCGACGATGTACTTTACAGCACTGTGATGCATACGCATATACATATAGTGCTGTATATATGTTACATTGTAATGCGGTTATTATTGTTTCCATAGTGCTGCTCAACTTTCCATGACTACAGTCTTCCTGCAGCGGAAATGTTAATTTGATGATTGTTGGAACGCGATTTTTCTGTTATTAAAGTGCATTTGGTCAGCTCTGCTTCTACCAAACTTCTCCATTAGGCATGCACAGCCATAGCAGCGTAGCATTAACGTGACGAATATAAACCACATGGATATATAGGTGGATGGGGGGATAGGTACGTGAGTGAGTGGGGAGGCGGGTAGGTCAGTGCGTGGGTTGGAAGGTGAGTGGGTGGGTCGGTCTGTGAACTGGTGAGTAGGTTGTGTGGGTCGATAGGTGGATAGGTGAGTGGGTTGGTAGTTGTAGGCAAGTAGGCATGTGGGTTAATGGGTGGGTGTGGGGAGCGGTAGTGTAGCGGTTTGCGCGCTGCGCTACGAACCCGCCAACCGGAGTTCGAATTCTGCTCACGGCCAACATCAGTGACGATTATTTGAACCGATCCTGGGCCTCCCCCAGGTCGACTCAGCCTCAAATGCTGTGGTGTGTAAACAACGCCACTGGGGAGACAAAGGCGGCCGGGCGTGGTGCTGGCCACCCACCCCCTCGTGTACCCTGCCGGCCTTTATAGGTGCTCGAGAACAGCACTTGCTGCTACAGTCTGTTAAGGCTATAAGGGGCATCTTTGTCTTTGGTGGGTAGGAGGGTGGGTAGGAGGGTGGGTAGGAGGGTGGGTAGGAGGGTGGGTAGGAGAGTGGGTAGGAGAGTGGGTAGGGGAGTGGGTATGAGAGTGGGTAGGAGAGTGGGTAGGAGAGTGGGTAGCTACGTGGGTTGATAGATTTGGAGGTAGGTGGTGGGTTTGTGAGTTAGTCGGCAGATATGTGGGTGGATGGGTAGGTTAGTAGAGTATGTAAGGTAGGTATGCATAGTGGTAGTTTGACAGGTGGGTGAATAGGTAGGTACATGAGTATATGGGTTGATAGATTACATACCTAGATAGTAATCCAGGAGTATAACTCCGCACGAGGAGGTAGCGAAACTAAGTTCAGAACCACATTGCAACACGGTGGCTCTTTTGTACAACTATTGGTGACCAAGCAGAGACCATCAACTCGCTACACTTGAGAAAACCCGTTTAACTGTCAGGCAGCAAGCCTCGATTCAAACCCCTGATCTCAGCGGAGCCGGCTCCGCGCTCTGACCTCTGAGCCACCTCAATAAACACGATCCCCGATCCCGACTCGATCCCGACTCATTCACACGCACGGAGCTGTCCATCAATGTACAGCGTGGCCCAAAGGTCAGGACACGCAGGGTTATTTTAATTGACGGGATTTTAACGCTAGAATTAAACAAATATAAGTTAATATTGTATCTATGATTAGGTATTAGCATGTATGTTTCTTCTTCCTGTGGGGTCACCTCAAAATCAATCGTTTACAAAACTCGGCCAAGAACCCCCCAGTGAATTGGGACGAAATAAAATTGACGAATGTTCAAAGTTGACACTTAATAAAAAAAAGTCTTAAATGCATTTCAAAAAATAATTCACCCATCAATGTTAATGCAATTAATGCAATTCAGTCTGAATATTTGTTAAAATAAATATAATCACCCTATGTGCCCCCCCGTGTATAATAACCCGTGACAACATCTGCACAGATTCCATGGCGCGCATCGCGCAGTTCCCGCTACAGCAGCTGCTGCCCCTCTTGGTGCTGCTCATCGCTGGCCCGGCCGCCTCTCACGACTACGGGGGCATGCCCATCGAGTTCGACCTCGAGGCCGGCGAGCCGAGCCTCCTGACCCTGCAGGGCCGCCTCGACCGGGCCTACGTGCGCCGCGTGCTCGGCTCCCCGGACTGCCCTCCCGAATGCGAGTGCCCCCACTTCTGGCCCACGTCCATGTTCTGCGACTCCCGCAACCTCACCCGCGTGCCGCCGCCGCTGGCCAGGACGGCCTACCTTTACCTGCAGCGCGGCCTCATCGAGGCCGTGCCCGAGGGGGCCTTCGGGAACGCGACGGGGCTGCGCAAGATCATCCTGGACGTCAACCGCATCTCGAGCGGCAACGTCTCCGAAGGGGCCTTCTCGCAGCTCGACCGGCTCCAGTGCCTCTACATCAACTACAACCATCTGACAGAGGTCCCCAAAAACCTGCCGGCGAGCCTGAAAGAGCTCAGGCTGGCGCACAACAAGATCCGCGTCCTGGAGGGTCGAGACTTCCACAACCTCGCCAACCTCACGCTGCTGCTCCTGCACGGCAACGAGATGGCGGTGGTAAAGTCGGAAGCCTTCGCCGGCTTGAAGTCCATTGTTCACATCAACCTGAGCAACAACAGGCTCGACGACCTTCCCAGCGGTCTGCCGAGCCACGTGCTTCAGCTGTACCTGGAGTGGAACGCCATCAGCCAGGTGCCCGAGTTTTACTTTCAACAGTTCCCCAACCTACAGTTTCTGCGTCTGGCCGGGAACTTCCTGAGCAGTCCGCGGGTGCCCGCAGAGGCCTTCAACGTCTCGACCCTTCTAGAGCTCGACCTCGCGTACAACAACCTCGACCGCATCCCCACCGTGCACCGCAACCTGCAGTACCTCTACCTGCAGGCGAACAACGTCAGCGGTACGTTGGGCAGGTGACGGAATGACGAGCGAGTAACCAGGAGTGTTTACAGGGTGCTTAAAAACGTCTTTGAGTTGTGCGCCTTTTGGCGTCTTCTGGTCCAACACCAATGGAGACTAGGCTCTAAGAAAAGCCGTCTCGGGTGTGGACCAATCAAATTCAAGTACTGTACATATTATTATCAGAGTTGTCTTTTTTGTTTGCATTTTGACTGCTTGTGTTGTGGTTATTGCAAACATGATGCCTTGAATAAAGGTGTCAGTTTTTGTGCCAGTTAAAAGGGTAAAACCTATTCCTATATGTTTTTAACACTTCTGAGAATTTGCAAACAATGCCCCGAGAAATGTGTTGCTGCCTCCGGGCTCTGGAGAGCGCATGGAGAAGATTCCAGACACGCGTTGACAATGATGGCGAACAATGGGAGACTCTTTGACTTTTTGAAGCTATTAACATTACATTTGTTATCATCAGTTTAACTCGTAGGCTTTCGCAACCAACATTATTCATAATAAAGGTTTTTTTGGGTTATATCGCGTAAGTATAAATGTGTCGTAACCTTCCACCACCCGACACAGCCAATTAGTATGTTGTGGATTTACTCTCCAACACACCGGTGGGCTGAAATAGTAACTAATTGGCTGTGTCGGGTGGTGGAGGGTTACGACACATTCATACTTACGCGATCTAACCCAAAAACCTTTATTATGAATTTGTTATCATGTTACAGTGTATTATCCGTTCTTTTTCCATTAAAAACGATAGTCCCATGTAATTGTTAACATTTTCTTGAAGCACCCTGTATTTATTTTGAACACTCACGATCTTCCGACATCGTTAACAGCGCAGTGCTTGACCCACAGCGCCACCATTCCACCCCGGCGCTCTTCATCAACACCGCACGCCTCATAAATATCATAAAGCAACATCGTAGCCTGCCCCACACCACCACCCTACCCGTGTTCATATTCCACGTCCAAGATGTTCCCATTTTCCTCTTCCTTTGCACTCATTGTCTTTCTGTAAATGCAATGCAAATCCACATTTACCCAGGGATGCCGAAATCGCAGTGTTTTGTACCACGCGGTTTTGATATGCCGTTGCGTGTGCAGTAGACGCTGAATAAAATCAAATTCTACTGAGTTCTATTACTCATTTGGGTTTATAAAATTGTACACCTGCGAACCGCATCTCAAAATGTCTCTACAAACAGCATCGCTTTCGCACGAGAGATCGTTGGTACCACCGCCACTGCAGCCGCTGTATTTTATTTTTTCTAGATTTTCCACTCTTGCCCCCTGCCGTTGTGCCCAAGGAAGGCTCCCCTACGGTCTCAGCTGTCTTCTCTTTCTTATCTTATATTTATAGAGCGCTTTTATCCAAGGCGCTTTACAAGATTTTATAAGTTGTAGAATTAGGCTGACTAAAAGCGACGCGGTGAATAGGGACGGGGTATAGGGATGGCAGTTTAGCGAGTACCGGAATGACGGTGGGTGCCTGGGGATGGAGGGATGGGCCAGGGAGAAGAGGCGGGGGTCTTGAGGGAGGAGCGGAAAATTTGACGGGGATGATGCTCGCTGCTTCATGTGGAGGGGAAGCTTGTTCCAGTGCAAGGGGGCAAGTAGGGAAACGGTGATTGTGCACAATTAGAGGGGGGAACGGTGAGGAGCCAGAGAGGTTGAGAGCGCAGCGGGCGGGAGGGGACATAACACGAGACGAGGGAAGTGAGGTAAGGTGCGGCAAGGCCGTGACGGCAACAACAACAACAGCAGCAGTAGCTGCTGCTACTGCTGCTGTTGTTGTTGCCTCTGCTAGATGTCTCCCCCACGTGTCCACACCTCTGAGGCGCGAACTCACGTCCAGATTTCCCGTTCGGCGTCTCACATTCCAGAGAGGAGAAGTGGCAGAGCTGCTTGGAGGTCAGTCAGGCTGAGAGCCTGGGTTCGAATCCAGGCTCCAGCCGTCTGTAATCAAACTGGGTTCTGGGTTCTCAAGTGTAGCGAGTTGATCAACAGTTCAGTCACAAAAGGTGATACAAAGACAATCACGTGACGTTTGTTTCTGCAAAACTTGATATTTAAGAATTTTAATATGGTTTGACTGTGATGCGACAACAACCCCTCTTTGGCACGGCGGGTGGGAAAGTGCTGCAGACACCGACAAAAGGGATGTCGGAGGTAGCTCTGTCAGATCCGCTTCCGCGGGTCGTTCTCTAACGCCGAAGGGTCGGCACTGCCCTGCAAGAGATCCCGATAAATGCTTCATCTCACGTTATGTGACAACGACAGCACAGTTGGGATCAAATTTGGAGATAATTTACGCAAACATTATTTGTAGGAGCATCTTTTGAGCAGAACTGTGCTGCTCATCTTCCGAGATAAAATCAAAGGGACACTCACATTCACCCACCTCACGCAGAATGAGAATTCTCAAGGAAAGATAAAAGCTGGGTGACCTGGCCGGGGTTAGTGGATGTCAGACACGGAGCTTACAAACTCCACATGCACACTGCTCTCATCGTCCAGTGATCCATCAACCTCATGTTACAGCCGCTCTCAACTCGATACGGTCCCTTGGTGCCTATATGCATGAACCACTATGCAAAAAAGATGCGTTACCGGCTGCTGTATATACAATAGCGCAAAGCGTCTCACCAAATCACACGGAATGTGACGTGACAATAGGGTAAGCAGGCTTTGAGCCTGGATAGGGTGGTATGGGTGACCACGTGGTATGGGTGACCACGTGCAAGTGATCTAGGTTGTTCCTGGGCCACGTCATCAGAGGGCATTTCAACAATGTCCATTGTTGTACTGTACTATGTCCCCAACATCTATGCCCCCTGATTTCACTAACGACCAGCATGGTGAAATATGGTCAAACAACCCCCGTGAACCACATTGCATGGGAAGGCCCTCATCCAGAAGCAGATTGACAAAATGACCATACACAAGTAACCAAGATGACGAGAGTTGCCACCTCTCCTGGTTTTCCCAGGAACATCCCCTTGTTGACCTACCTAGCTGTCCTGAGAAACATATCAAGTCCTCCCTGTAACTATAAAAGTCCACGTTTTTTGTTATCAACGTTGCAATAACACGCCTCTCAAGATAATGCATTGACATCTCATTCTCCCCTCTGCTGGGATCGCAATAAATGATTCCTCTTCCCATGGAATATATCCCAGTTTTTTCCACATCACAGATGGAAACCATACATTGTACACGTTTAAAACGCCTTTCACTCGGAGGTCGGTCGGGAAGTGGCCGTGTATCTCCCAGGCTATGTCCACATTTTTAAAATGCGCCATTAAAAAAAAAAACTATTTATACGCTTCCGCTTATTACATTTATAGTTCATTTAATAAATGTTTTTTTTATGTATTTATAATATTCTTTTTATGCTGAGTGTCTGCTGCTGTGTCCTGTACAGCGCTTCGAGATCCTTGATGAAAAGTGCTATATAAATGCATTTATTATCATTACACCGCTAAAACAACGATTTTTTTATTTCAATAAAGAGCAAGCCGTAAATAAAAACGGAAACGGAAGGCACGGCTGCCCGGCGATAAGAACGCTCGTAAAGGCCAAAGCACACGAATGCGGCTAAGAGTTGAAAGCGTTGCCGGCTCGTGTGAGGGGGGCACGCGCATGTGGCCGGCAGCCAAGATGGAATTTTACGGAGAGGCTCCTGGCGTTAATTCCATGAAAGTGACCGAGAGGGCCTCTGGCCGCCGTTTGTAGAGAGCGGCGGGCGGGCGGGCGAGTGAGTGAGCGAGTGCCCCAGGTCAGCTGGGAGTAATCTGGCTGCAGCGGCCGCCTTGCTGGAGCCGTGCCAAATCCGGGCCACTCAGGAATGTCTCCGCCAACTGAGAACTTAATTGTCAACGATTCCACGATGATTTCATCTGTTTGTGTATAACTGAATACTTTAATTGGCGAGAAGTCGTTTTCGTCAGGACAATGTTACCACCTTAGCTTTTTAATTATTTTTTGTACAGTAATTTATTCCACCCGGCACCGCAATCGAACCACTTCAGATGGCTACATTTAACTTACAAAGTAATCGTTGTTATCAGAATCACGCTTTGTAAAAAAATATATATCACGTACTTTTGTGGATTCGGCATTATGTAATTGTCGACATTTGTCCTCTTGTCCCTGTGTGTCCCCTGGTCTCCGTGTGTCCCCTGGTCTCCGTGTGTCTCCGCGTGTCACCGCTTGTCACTTGGTTCCACCATGTGCCCTCGCCTTCCTGTCCCTGTGTCTGTATCCCCTCGTCCCCCGTGTCCCCGTGAGAACAGAGTTCTCCGTGGAGAGTTTCTGTCGGAGCAACGCGCCCCAGGACTACTCCCGTCTCTCGCTGCTCCGTCTCGACGGGAACCGCCTCGCCTCGTGGAATATCCCCAGCGACGCCTACACGTGCCTCCGGCGGTGCCATCAGTTCATCATCTAGACGGCGCGACGCGGTAGGGCGCGACGTGACGGGCACCACGGCGCAGTTGGCATGGGTCCAGCTGCAATGATAGAAAAGAGGGGGCCACCCGCTGTCCAGCTTCCAACATGTTAATATTTTGGTATCCTCTTGTATAATCTAATTTTTCTTTTTTTTTACAGATTCATTGTATGTATGTTGAACTTCATTCGCGCCGTACGTGGCCAACCGTGCTAAATCGTAGGTGCGGGGATGTCACAAGTATCGTTCACGATGTATCTGCCAACATTTATTTTTTAATATCACATCTTCCTCGTGCATAATGCGCATCGGCAGGCATCACCCTACGCGTACGGCGCAACAAGAATATCTACGACACGCGTGTTACGTAGCACCGCAGTAAACGCGATTGGCCACATCCCAGACGCTTCGATGAATTGTGAGTGGTGTTTGGACGCGGCACCGAAGGCGCTTGCACACTTCAGACACCGGCATCGCTGGGGCGGCCGTGGCTCATCACGCTACACAAACGCGCCCCCCCAGAGCATTCCCCTCCCTAATTCTTCCAAGATGTGACTTACAGAGTCGCGGCAATTATCCGTCCCTCAGGTGACCTCCAGTTCTGCTCGCACGGTGGGTGGGGGGGGGGGGTTGCGCCGGGCGTTATTAACGAAGCGATGGTGGCGGTGGCCCCCCCCGCACGCACACAGCGCCCAGCCCGGCAGAACGCCCGGGTCGAAGGGGAGCCGGCGTGGGGTGGCGACGCCGCCGCGATGTAACGGTGAGCGCGCGCTGGGACTTCAAAGCTCGGGGGTTCACCGGTTCGATCCCCTGACGTGGCAGTCGAAACAATGGGCAAGTCTGTAATAACGTCACCCACCCCGCAGGCCTCTGTGCCCCCGGCAGTACAGTTATAGTTAGAGGCTCTTTAAACCTGGAGGCCGATCCGCCAGCAACGGTATGAGCGGGCAATTGCAGGGCTGCACCTTGACCGCATTTAAATTGGCGGGAGAGTACAAGGCCATTGCAGTCTAAAACACGTTACATTCATGAAGCGTTTGGAAAGCCACGCGTTTGTAAGTTGCAAACGAACTTGGCACACGGCTTTCGCTTTTAAAACACGGACCACAAATGATGGTTACACACCCCGGTTGCACGAACGCTCCCCCGCACCCCGCAGCCCCCTCCCCGTGTCTTTTTTTGACGACTCGAGTCGGCAGTCAATTCGTGGATTCTCTCGAACAATTTCGCTTCTCAGGCTCCGGCCAGAATTCTGGGAAAGTCTTCCCAACTCGCCCGGCGGTAGCTAAAAGCAACTCGGAAAAGCGTGGAGGTGTCACTGTTGTATCAACTTTTGTCGTCCGTCAACTCTGGGTTGATTGGTAGCTGCTCCTCAGTGACTCGGTGCCGATCACTTCAAGAAGCAACAATAACAACAACAGACGAGACGTTCCACGTCTTCACCCTCACTCTACGCAGGTGAACAATAAATACGTTTTTAATAAATGACGTGAATGTTTTTGTTTACTTCCTGGGACACCGCTGCCTCCCATTGACCTGCCGGATAACATCGAGATTTGACCGTACGATCGCGATGCACTTGAACTCCAATTTCCGCGGAGCCAGCTGCTGCACGACCGAGATGCGTTATAAAAATGCCACGATCCGAAAGGTGTCGTTAGAGTTCACAGGACGCGCCAATTACGATCCCATGTCTCCTTCCCCCACTTCACGCGACATACAAAAAAAATCAGCGTCCTCCACAAAAGCCAGAGAGAGCCCCGTGGTGCTGCGGTGCCTCAAGCAACGGAGAACGATGGGGGTGGGGGCAGAGGGTCTGAAAAATAAAATAAAAGCAAGGTAATTTGCAGAATTGGCCGCACATGTCTTAAGGGTTGCTTGTGACGGCGGTGCGGTTGCCACCGCTCCTGGGGCTGTCAAACTTGTGCCAAGTTCCGCGGTTACTGCCAACGCCGCCGCTGCCGCTGCTGCCGCCACCCCCTGTACCGCAATAAAAGGCAGCGTTATTTGAGAGGGGACGCAGCCCAAGAAGCTGCCTCTAGGTCTGACTCCACGGCGATTAAAACGGTGGCACGGCGGGGTATTGAATAGAGTCGCCACGGAACTGGAGTGCGTTGGTTTTATGTTTTATGCGAAAGAGATCGTTTGAGAGGCGATTTTTTTTGCCTGAGTCATTTGACATATTACACACCAGCACACTTATCAAGAATGCTCTTTCATTCGGGAATATTTTTTTTGTGTTAATACACCACCTTCAAAATGTCATCTGTGTGCTGTGAAGAAGGGCCATTTACCCAAAACGTCACGTATTACGTCTTGTTTGTCCTTTTAGGGCCGCAGTGTTATTGATGAACCTCTTGAGCTCTTCATATTTTGTTTTGCTTGCTACCGTTTGTCAGGTTACACACAAAATCATTCTTCTGCCTATTGCACATACACAAACACAACATCTGTAAACATCCACGGTGTTAAGTTACTCGCTAACAGCTTTTGCTTGCCAAACCAATGCTGGATGAAGGCCTCCCAGTGCCGTGTCGGTCACGAGGCTGTTTGACCATACTTCACCACGCTGGTCAGTGTGGACCGGTGAAGGGGGCGCCCAGGATCACTTCAAATGATGACGCACCACCGACTTGAGCCATGACCGTGAACCGAGTGTCGTCGGTCACTCGGTTCACAACGCACAAACACCACGTGTGCGTGACAGCTGCACCGCCACTTCCCGCTGTGTTTCATTATCAGCCAGGATCCATCCACTGCTCGATGAAAGCCTCCCCAAGCCATCGCACACAAAGCAGAGTTTTGAAAAGATATTTTACTATTTGTGTTAATTTGCTGGTTGGATATTTGAGCAAGCCATGTGAGGATATGTTTTTTTTTTGCAAGCCCATATTCACATTTTCTTTTAAATATTCCCAGCATAAGCAAACAATGCAGTGGGGGGATGTAAGCAACGAGCCTGTGAGCATCGCCTTTCGTCCAGAGATAAGGAGCGAGCCGAGACGTCGACTCAAACCTCTCCCGAGCCTCGCGCCACGACGAGCAACAATCGCGCCACATTTACATTTCCTTTCTTTCTCCGTTGCAAAGCGCAGACTTGGAGGAGGGGGAAGAGGTGGGGGCGCGTGGGCGTGAGAGGGGTGAGGCGGAGAGAATTCCCACGGCAACATCACATTTCTCAGACGCTCGCTAAATGACATCACCTTTTCGGGCGTCTCTCAAGACGTTGACCCTGCGCAAAGGAGTCCATTATATTGGGCTTCATAACAAAAATTAAGACCAGCTGAGGCTCTTCGCGGCTGGACTTCGCGCCCGTGCGCGTCCTGGCCTGGCGATGTTCGCTCTCAAAAAAATAACGTGGCGATGTTCACTCTCGAAAGACGAATTCAGAACGGATGCCGCAGCTGTGATTGCACGCGGGCGCGTGCATGGTCGCACATGTCTCGCGAGCAGCACGGCTGGCGTCGCTCAGGAGAGAACTACGGGGGAGGGGATGAATTCCCTACGGGGATTTGGACGGATTGTCAATTCGCGTCTAAAGATAATGTTAGTAGCGTTGCGGTGAATGGTTGCGCCTCAATTGGCTGCGGTGGTGTCACACCGATCTGTGTGCGTCGTGAACTCAAGAATCAATGAATGCGTGCAATGCCCCACCCCCAGCAGAAACGTTCTTTGCCCATTGCCCAAGATATCACAACGTCATCCATTGCAAACTCTCTAAAAGACGTTGCTAATAATCACGAAGTGGAGCTCCCACTTGGGCATCGTGTTCCAACCGGTCCGGGCTGTAATTCAAATGCAAATTACTTGTGCCACCTTTCTTGATGGGTGGGGAAACTGCTCATAAAATACCAGGGTTTCAGAGAAACCAAGGCCAACTGACCTTTTCATCCAAGTTGGTGCGTTCAGTTTTGCCACATTTTCTAAAACTATGACCTCGACTATTGGGGTGATATTGATATGTTGACGGAGAGGTTCTCGATCACGTGGAACTGTCATATTCATAGCCAACATTTAACGAGAGTTCACATGTATGAAGAGAGAAAAAAAAACACAAGTTATTTGATTTTTTCTAATCAAAAGCGAATGTGTATGTCTGTCGTGAACGTAAAAGTAATATTTTAAAGCATATTGTGAATACCAAGATCTAAATCGTGTGTCCAGGATATTAAACATTTTCCGTACGACTACCACGCACACGCGCGTGCAACACAACGCGATATCACAACGCCTCTCTCTTGGCCACCCTTGAGAGTGCAGGAGAAAGAAAGTGGGGGGAGGGGGAGGAAAACGTCTACTATTTTATATATAAATATATATATAAAGCGGTGGGAGAGCCGCGGGCGAACTTTTGAAAAATCTTATATCCCGATTGCATCTCGTAAATAATGTCCTGTGAACGTCGCGTAAAAACCAGCCAACCAGTTAGTCGGGGCCCACGTGGAAGCAGTGGCTTTGTGGGTGACCAAACAAAGGATGAGCAGAGGGCTGCGGGGTAGCGAGGAAGGAGGTGGCGCAGGAGGGAGGTAGCGGAGGAGGGACCCACATCTCTCCAAATCTGGGGCACGGAGAGGCCAAAGGAGTGACGTCTGTGTGGGTTTGCAACGGTACCAGGGTGCGGGGTGCGGGGAGGAGTGTCGGGGGGGGGGGGTGCAGGAAGAGAACGAGGAGGAGGCGGCGCGGAACGAGCGTCGCGTGTTGGGCTCGGTTCGGAGCGAGGTTAGTGCCGAGGGTTCAGACGCGCAGCGGCCGGGCTCAGGGCTCCGGGAGGGACAGGAGGGAAGAAATTCCCTGACCGGCGTCTGGGTGGAACGACCACACCGGGTCCGAGTGCCCGACCAGCTGAGCCCCAGGTGAGTCGATTGCTTGTGTGGTCATCCAGATGTGCGAGCCTATTCGTAAACACTGTCACAATGATTGATGACCGGGAACCAGGTATTTCCTGGGGAGCCAGGTGTCTCGAGTACGAAAGCCTCCCGGCATCCAGGTGGAATAAGCACACGAGGGATGTTGTTGGTGCCCAACATTCCGCATGCAGTCTCGGTGCAAGTGACACGCAAACTAAGCATACGCGTAGGGACCCAAGTAGCTCAAGGGGCCATGGATTCGTGAACTTATATGTGCTTACCATGTCAACCCATACGGTTTACCCCGTGTTCTTGTGCAGGGAAATTGTGTTTTCAGGTCCATGCGGCGTACAGCCGTTTCAATACGGGCAAAACAAGTGTCTATTTGTTTGCGTTTCTCCCTTGTGATGGGACTTTGTTGGATGAAAGTTGAGATTTAAAAGGGCACGGGGTGACCAATAAGATCTGAACTGGTCTGTAATACCGTAGGCACTGATAAGGGGTTGACAGGTTTGTATGTGCTGAACCAAATACTGAAACAAATCAGCTGGAAATCAGTCCCTAACAAACATAAAAAGCTTGTGATCATTCTGATGACACGACTGAAAACAGTAAATCATTGTAACTCGTATGTTAACGAATGCCACACAACTGAGATATTATTTAGTTTCGTAGCTTGTACAGCATGTGTTTGCGGTCACGTGATGCACCCCAAAATAATTACACCAGCACCTGAAAGCCCCCCTCATACCTGTGAACCAGGTGAGCTCATTCGTCCATAATGTTTCTTACAGATAAAATTTGGCACCTCGGATTAGTACGGTTGGCTACGTACGGTGAGAAAGAAGTTAAACGTACATACGTACAATAATATTGTTATTTTAGTGCATTTCGTGTTCAAGCCATTCTTAAAGTACAACGCTATCGCTAAGGAAGGAGCAGCAGTGTTTCACGAACAAGGGCTGCAGTAGTTTCACTGCAGGGCACGATGCTGCTTGCTGCTGTGTAACCTCAATTGAGCACAGCAATTTGCGGGTCATTTTTGCGAATTTGCCGAATTTGGACCAAGACCCTTGCAACACGATGACCGACCTACCCGTTCAAGAACGATGTCAGGGGATTTTTAACGTCTGCGGTATTAACCAGGGCTGCCCGCCGGGTTTGACCCTCCACCAAGCACCCTGGTGCGTGGAGCGGTTCCCGTGAGAGATGTTCACGAGCCAAGGTGGCCTTTGCATTGGGGCCTTAAGTGGTCCAATAAAAAAAAAAACTGGCATTTGTTAATGTATAAATATATACATCTGTTAAGTTTCATCATCAAGTTCATGAACTACAAGCGAAGATTTGTTTACCACTGTGGCCCTGCTGGAATTAGTCATCTCATAAATTCGCTAAAACTACCCAACAGTAACCAACTTCCATCACTAGTGACCGCTGTTCACGTTTGATGATGATTATCACGATGAGCATGATGGCTAAGATGATTCTAATGATGATGATTATGACGATAATGACAATAACCATGATTATTATAATGCATAAAATGATGATGCTACTGATGATGATGATGATGGAGATGATGACAATGATGATGATGATGATTAAGACAACATCAATGATGCTGGTGTCAACTGTGACACTTACTACGGATGACACTTCTAATAACGACTGCCGTGATGATGATGATGACGACGGTGATAACAACGATGCCGAGGGGAGTAAATTAACGGATCGAGCACCGTTATGTCCAGGCCACTGAGTCTCCGGCACCATGAGGCTCCCTCTCCAGCTGACCTCGTCGCTGCTGCTGCCACCGCCGCAGCTGCTGCTGCTGCTGCTCGTGACCTCCAGCGCGGCCACCGCCGCCGCTCAGGAGGGCAGCTCCTCGGCGCCTCTCCCTCCGGGCGCCGCTACCCCTCGACCGGAGGGGGACCCCATCCTGTACGAGGGTCCCCACTTCTACCGCGACTGCCCTCGCGAGTGCTACTGCCCGCCGAGCTTCTCGACAGCGCTCAACTGCGAAGGCCGCCGCCTGCGCTCCGTTCCAGAGTTGCCCTCGCGCGCCATGCACCTCTACCTGCAACACAACTTCATCCGCACCCTGCGCGCCGGCCCCTTCGCCAATGCCAGCGAGCTGCGCTGGGTGAACCTCAACGACAACAGGGTGGCCAGCGTCGAGGCCGACGCCTTGGGCGGCCTCAAGCACCTCCTGCACCTCTACCTGGAGCGCAACGTCCTCGTGGAGGTGCCCAGGGGCCTCCCGGGCAGCCTGCAGCAGCTCCGGCTGGCCTACAACAAGATCGCGACCGTCCCCGCGGAGTCGCTCTCCGGGCTCTCCCACCTCCTCCTGCTGGACCTGACCGGCAACAGCCTGGCCGATGGCTCTCTCACCGGCGAGACCTTTAAGGGGCTGTCCAATCTGGTGCAGCTGAATCTGCATGGGAACCGGCTCACGAAGATGCCGGAAAAGCTGCCGACCAGCCTCTACCAGCTGTTCTTGGAGGGAAACCTCATCACGTCCGTCCCCAAGGGCTACTTTGGCGGCTTTGGGCGCCTGTTCTCCGTCCGCCTGTCCTTCAACAAGCTGACGGACGAGGGTCTGCCTGCCACCATATTTAACATCTCGACCCTGGTGGAGCTCGCTTTGGGGCACAACCGGCTGTCCAAGATCCCTGAGATCCCTCCGCAGCTGGAGCACCTCTACCTAAACCACAACCGCATCAAGAGTACGTGCACGTGCGCACGCACGGGTGGGCTTCACAGCCATGCGAGGCGCTTAGCAGATCCCTTCGTTTTTATCCACTGCTGGATGAAGGCCTCTCTCGAGCTGTCGCTATCGCTTCACAATCCCGCGATGCGATACAGACACTTGGCTTCCGGTCGTCGTATGATGATTATTTACAGCCCTTTTGCAATCCGCTGCTGGATGTGTCAGTTATGGGGGGGGGGGGGGGGTTGACCATACTTCACCATGCTGGTCAGTGCCGATTGGTGGAGCGGAGTGACCCAGATCCCAGAACCAGTTTAGATATCATCGTCATAGTCGAGAGCAACTCACGTCACAAGCAGAGTGAAAGCACTCAGCCCATTTATTTGAAACGAGTAAGATCAACGCCGCATGATCTCCAGCGGTCATGAGTGAGTTATTGGTGGAGAGAGCCTTTTCATGTCTCAGCGCTTGACAAAACTACGCCCAGATCGCCCTGGATGTGCCCGGACTCAGCTCAGCAGGACCGATGAGCCTAAGTTGCTACTTGTATGGGTGACCACCTGGGCTTGCCAGGCATTGCAGGTGTAATGACGACTTGACACTCTTGTCTTGAGATGGTTTCTTTATTGTAGAGACACGTTCACTCGAACAGGCGGAGACCCCCACTGCAACAGCCCCGAGTCTCCCGCGCATCTCCATTATATACTGACCGAGGCCACGCCCCCGTTCCCGAACCTTCTCGCTGGTTCTAGACCGCTCGCTCCACCAGCAGACTCCACCGTCCTCTTCCGTCACCTGGCCACGCTCCGATTATCGATCATTCCCATAGCCACCAGTCCACTCGTACTGCAGGCTGACTCCCCTGTCATTACCTCCCGTGGCCACTAGTCCCTTCGCCGTGCAGGCTGACTCCCCTGTCATTACCTCCCGTGGCCACTAGTCCCTTCGCACTGTAGGCTGACTTCAGAGGGGGCCTTTAAATTGGAGTCTAGAGGGAAAAAAAAACATTTACGGGAGATGATGAAAAGGATTCGTCAAGGGAGGTATTTTTTTGGTGGCTAGAATGGCAAAATCAGAAATCATAATGTCAAAACGTGATAATTACTTACAGCCATTTGTAAATCCACTGCTGAGTGAAGGCCTTCACACGTGGTGTTAGTCGTGCGGGTTGCTTGAGCATACTTCACCACGCTGGTCTATGTGAATTGGTGAAGCTGGTTTCCCGGACCAGTTTGAATGTCCCTTGCCACTGATGTTGGCTGTGACAGGGAATATAACTCAGATAAACCCTGTTCAGAGTGCAGTGCGTGAACCACCACTCACTCTGGCATCGCATTCAAACATAAATATGATTATACGTTAACATGTTACACAGCAGAAAAAATATCTCTAACCTGATGTTTTAAAAAATAACAACATATACAGGATGTCTCCTGCTAACCGATCATGCTCGTGAAAAAATATTATAAACTGTATATCATACAGACGAGACGGGCTTTGTAGTGGAAATTAGAATTAATTAAAAAAAACTGAGTAAGAGAATCTATCTGAAGGCTTAATGTGCATGGAATACTCTGCAGACACTGGACTACGACACACATGGGCCAGGCTTGGCTTTGTCCAAGTGTTGGAATCCACACGGGTTCGCATAATAACCTCCACTAGTTCTTGTAATCTTCATAAATGAAAACACACAG